TACGGACTTTTCCCCCAAAAAATTGTTTTATATTCAGGATTTTAGGCTCTTCCCCCCCCCCCCAGTCATGTCTCTCTCTCTCTCTCTCTCTCTCTCTCTCTCTCTCTCTCTCTATCTCTCTCTATCTCTCTCTATCTCTCTCTCTCTCTCTCTCTCTGTCTCTCTCTCTCTGTCTCTCTATCTCTGTCTCTCTCTCTCTGTCTATCTCTCTCTCTCTCTCTCTCTCTCTCTCTCTCTATCTCTGTCTCTCTATCTCTGTCTGTCTGTCTCTCTCTCTCTCTCTCTCTCTCTCTCTCTCTCTCTCTCTGTATACAAACACAATACTGACATATCAAACTGTCCTCTCGAGTATTACGTCACATTTCGCCATCAAAATCTCCAATATAATGAAGTATAAATCGCAGCGGCTGACAACAACGTTTTCTATGCGTGGGTTCATGGGTTAGGTTAGGTTCGGGCAATCTAGTACACCATTATTGTGAGGCACAGTGCACAGTTACAAACCCATTCAGATTTCAACTTAGATTGAACAGAGCAGAAGAAGTTGTTAAACACATATGGGACAAAATCTTACTGAAGCGACCTCCAGGAGCGCCCTGCTGCCTGGCACCCTCCAGGAGCGCCCTGCTGCCTGGCACCCTCCAGGAGCTCCCTGGCACCCTCCAGGAGCGCCCTGCTGCCTGGCACCCTCCAGGAGCGCCCTGCTGCCTGGCACCCTCCAGGAGCTCCCTGGCACCCTCCAGGAGCGCCCTGCTGCCTGGCACCCTCCAGGAGCTCCCTGGCACCCTCCAGGAGCGCCCTGCTACCTGGCACCCTCCAGGAGCGCCCTGCTGCCTGGCACCCTCCAGGAGCTCCCTGGCACCCTCCAGGAGCGCCCTGCTGCCTGGCACCCTCCAGGAGCGCCCTGCTGCCTGGCACCCTCCAGGAGCTCCCTGGCACCCTCCAGGAGCTCCCTGGCACCCTCCAGGAGCGCCCTGCTGCCTGGCTCCCTCCATAAAAACTCTGGATACCAAGACGCCGCCAACTTAAAAAGGTTCCAAAGGTACAAGAAAGGAAAATGTTTGCATAAAAGGCTTGCAACTACAGTCGGTCTGGCCATAGCTGCAGGCGCGGCGGCTCTGCTCCTCCTTGAGGTTACCTTGAGATGATTTCGGGGCTTTTAGTGTCCCCGCGGCCCGGTCCTCGACCAGGCCTCCACCCCCAGGAAGCAGCCCGTGACAGCTGACTAACACCCAGGTACCTATTTTACTGCTAGGTAACAGGGGCATAGGGTGAAAGAAACTCTGCCTATTGTTTCTCGCCGGCGCCTGGGATCGAACCCAGGACCACAGGATCACAAGTCCCGCGTGCTGTCCGCTCGGCCGACCGGCTCCTCAGTTTCGTTTTAAATTTCAATACTTTTTTTCTTGATTTTTCTTATTTTTATTTGTATGTGTTCATACATGAGTGTGATCTGGATTATTTGTGGTTATGGGGTGAGAGTTCTAGTTCCTGGGACCTGGCTCTTGATGGTTGAGTCTGTGAGTGGAACTGTTCTCCACTACTTCTCCTTCCCCCCCGTCCGGCAGTGACTGGACTTGTTCTCTACTACCCCCCCCCCCCCCTCAGAGCAGTGACTGGACTTGTTCTCTACTACCCCCCCCCCCTCCAGCAATGACTGGACCTGTTCTCCACTACCCCCCCCCCCCCCTCCAGCAGTGACTGGACCTGTTCTCCACTACCCCCCCCCCCCCTCCAGCAGTGACTGGACTTGTTCTCCACTACCCCCCCCTCCAGCAGTGACTGGACTTGTTCTCCACTACCCCCCCCCCTCCAGCAGTGACTGGACTTGTTCTCCACTACCCCCCCCCCCCTCCAGCAGTGACTGGACCTGTTCTCCACTACCCTCCCCCCCCCCTCGCGTGGGTGCTCGTATGCTTGTATGAATCACGTACACACATATAAGCCTAAACCCTTCATACAAATCTCAAAGTATGTGTCTCAAAGTATGTGTCTCAAAGTATGTGTCTCAAAGCATCTACACTTTTGATAATACTCCGGGCAGTTTGTGATAAGTGTCACGTTAAACTCTGCAGACCTTTAAGATAATACTCCGGGCAGTTTGTGATAAGTGTCACGTTAAACTCTGCAGACCTTTAAGATAATACTCCGGGCAGTTTGTGATAAGTGTCACGTTAAACTCTGCAGACCTTTAAGATAATACTCCGGGCAGTTTGTGATAAGTGTCACGTTAAACTCTGCAGACCTTTAAGATACTCGTGAATTAATAACATTCAAAATGGTTCTATGCAAAATTGACTGAACTGAAAAATGAAACAGAATTGATCATTTCTAAGTTATAAGTTTTGCAATAGTGGCGGTGACTGGCGCTGGGAAGTGTTTTACGCCAATTACCTCCACTCAAAGACCTCCTTCCCTGCCTCACGTCTCTCAATATCTCGCAAGCTACGCGGAAAACTTGGAGGAGGGGGGGGAGGAGGAGTGGGAGGGGGTGCAGGGGGGAGGGGAGGAGTGGGAGGGGGTGCAGGGGGGATGGGAAGGAGGGGGAATTGAGGTGGGGGGAGAGGGAGGGAGGGAGAGGGGGGCAGTGGGAGGAAGCTAAAGGGTAAAGGAATGGGAGGGAGGGAGGGAGGAGGATGGAAGAGGAGTTGAGGGGGGAGGGGACGAAAGAGGAGAAGGAGGGGGGGAGGGGGGTGGGGTGAGGGGGAGGGAGAACAATAGCGCCTCACATAGTAAGAGGCCAGCCAGCCTCCGGCCTCTACACATTACTCCTACACTTTCCTTCTTAATCCTATTTCTTCCCCCTTCTTTCTCGCCTCTTGTTGCCTCTCCTCCGTCACGTCCCCATCCCAGCCTTTCTCTTAAGCTCATGCCCCGTCCATTTCCTGTCCTCTTTCCTTCCTGTGAATTGAAACTGTGAACGCCAAGAAATCCGGACTCCACCTGTCAAAGGTTTCCGGGGGATACAGACCTGGTTACGCATAAGGGAATGTCAAGACCAACAAACCTGAAAACCCACTTCGGCCAATCATCAGCCAGATACCCACACCCACATACACACTGGCCAAGCAACTCAACTGCTTGCTGACTCCTTATGTGCCTTGTGCTTTTAGCCTGAAGTCTCCGAAGGAATTTATCGGCTTATTGCGAGGAAGACGGGCCACAGGGATGAGAGCCTCTCTGGTTGTGGAGTCGCTGTTTACCACCGGGCCTGTGAATGAAACAATCAGCATGATGATCTATCTTGAGGTTATCTTGAGTTGATTTCGGGGCTTTAGTGTCCCCGCGGCCCGGTCCTCGACCAGGCCTCCACCCCCAGGAAGCAGCCCGTGACAGCTGACTAACTCCTAGGTACCTATTTACTGCTAAGTAACAGGGGCATTGTTGATCCAACTTGTACCCCTCTGGACATACCAAAGAGCATATTGAGAAAGTTACTCGAAGCTTGCATGAAGAGGCACCCTTCTCGAGTCCCGATGGGCACATGTATAAACAAGTAGATGGGGTCTCCATGGTTTCTTCCCTAGGTGTTCTGTTTGCGGATTTTTAAATGGGTACCATAGAGCAAAGGGTCTTAGTTGACATGTTTTTAAAACCTGCCATATACAGCAGGTACATTGACGACATATTTATGCAGGTACCTGATCTCAGACCTTTGCAGCAGTTGAAGGAATCATTCGAGCAAAATTCGGTCGTAAGTTTCACTTACGAGATGGAGAGTGATGGAAAGCTGCCCGTTCTAGATGTAACAGTAGCGGAAAGGAATGGAGGCTTCCACACTGCAGTCTACACTAAAGAAACGAACATAGTAATGTGCCTTAATGCTAATAGTGATTGTCCGGACAGATACAAGCGGAGTATTGTCAATGCTTACGTTGACCGAGCTCTCACTCACAGTTCTGGTTGGAAGCAGGTCGACGAGGAACTCTGTAGAGTTAGACAGGTCCTAGTCATCAATGGCTTATCTAACGGTTACGTTGAAGACGTCATTAAAAGAAAGGTGACACGCCAAGCAACCTCTGAAGAATCAACTAACACAACACTTGTTCCTCCTATTGGATTGTTTAACAGGAACGTCTTTTCCACGGCTCATAAAACGGAGGAAAGTGTCCTGAAAGATATTATTGATAGGAACGTTATCCCCCATAGACACAAATTTTCTATACTCTGCATTGGCAGAGTATGGAAAATTTGTCTTTGAAAATGTAAGGAGTGCCTTGCGAAACGCTTCCCTAGGCTTCAGACCATAATATAGTGTGGAAATAACATTTGGAGAGTTAATTTTTCAACTTCCTTCGACAGTGAAGAAAAACATAAGAAATATTGAGAAGATTCGTGTTAGAATCATTAATCTTACCCTTTCTATAATATATATATATATATATATATATATATATATATATATATATATATATATATATATATATATATATATATATATAAATATATATATATATATATATATATATATATATATATATATATATATATATATATATATATATATATATATATATGAGTGGAGAGCAGTAATGAAGGAAGCAGAGAGGGTGGGTATAGGGAGCACAGTGAGGCACCACTCACCAGTCCTCATCACAGGTACTCACCAGTCCTCATCACAGGTACTCACCAGTCCTCATCACAGGTACTCATCAGCACTCATCACAGGTACTCACCAGCCCTCATCACCGCCTCACCTAACTTACCTGTAAAAGAAAATGATCAGTGAACATATATCGTAACACAATCCTTCACAAAATTTTATCTGAAATTAAAATATAGGAAAACATTTTGGGTGTTCCAAGAGCCTTTGTCTGTAAACTTTATGGTATTTTTATTATCATCACCATCATTCTCATCACCACCATTATCATCACCATCATTCTCATCACCACCATTATCATCACCATCATTCTCATCACCACCATTATCATCACCATCATTCTCATCACCACAACCACCATCATGATGACCAAACCACACACCAGAAGATGGAGAGA